AGCTGCTGGAGAAGGGCAGGAATGGGAGCCTGAGCGTCGCTGGGTTCAGTCCCCCTCCTGCCCCACTGAGCTCTCCGCTCCGGACTTGTTCACGCTGGAGGACATCTGGCAGGGAAGCTGTAGGTGGCGGTGTCTGTCTCCTGTGTGGCGTTGGACCAGGATTACAGAGGCGGCCCCTCCCACCCTGACCTCGCCCTTTCCTCCATTTGAGGCTGATCCTATAGATCAGTTGCTTGCCCCGCAGCCAGCTTCCCTCTCATCTGCATGTTTTGGGTGTACAATTGTGTGTGCAAAAGAATGGGCGCCAGGTGCCTCTTCCTCCCACAAACCACCCTGCGCCTGCAGCGCGCCCCCCTCGGGTTCCCTGTGCGCCCTCTGGTGGCGGCAGGGGGCCACTGCGCTGGGCTCCGTGGAAGGTCTTGGAGCAGAGCCAACCAGAATAGGGTTGGAATCAGACATCTTATTAAAAACGTGGGCCTCCATCAACAGATGAATGGATAAACACAGTGTGATATACACAGACAATGGAATATTATTCATCCTTAAAAAGGAATGAAATTCTGACACATGCTACAACATGGATGAACCTTGAAAACATGCTTAGTGAAGCCAGACGCAAAACAACATATATTATATGATTCCACTTAGAGGAAGTACTTAGAATAGGCAAATTTATATATACAGACAGTAGAATAGAGACTACAGGTTACCAGCGGCCGAGGGGGACCGGGAGTGGGGAGCTATTGTTTGGGTAGAGTTTCTGTTTGAAACAGAGTTTCTGTTTGAGACAATGAAAAAGTTCTGAAAATGGATAGTGGTGATGGTTGCACAACATTGTGAATGTACTTAATGCCACTGAATTGTACACTTAACCAAGGTTAAAATGGTTAATTTTATGTATACTTTACCACAATTAAAAAAGTACCAAAAAAAAAAAAAAATCCCAGACCTGCCACTTAAAGGCTGTGTGACTTTGGTCAAGTCACACTTAACTTTGGTCAACTTAACTTCTCTGAGCCTCGGTTTCCTCATCTGTGAAATGGAGGGCAATAATGCCTTTCTCACTGCCATCATCCTAGTCCAAGCCCCCATCCTCCCTCCCCTGGAGGATTGCAAACAGCCTCTTCAGTGGTTTCCAGGCTTCCCTTCTTGTCCTCCCGCCCAAATCTTTTTCAATGAAGCAGCCAGAGTATCTAAAACCAGAAGTCAGATCAAGTCACTCTCTTGCTTAAAATGTTCTCCAAACTCCTACCCTTAGCTGCCAAGATCTGGCCCCTGACCACGTCTCCTCTCTCAGGACGTCCATCGTCCCTTCTCCCCAAGCCATCACTCTGAGCTCCTTTCTAAAGGTTTATTTATTTATTTATTTTTCTGCAAAGCCCCAGCAGATAGCCGTATGTCATAGTTGCACATCCTTCTAGTTGCTGTATGTGGGACTTAGACTCAGCATGGCCGGAGAAGCGGTGCGTTGGTGCGCGCCTAGGGTCCGAACCCGGGCAGCCAGTAGCGGAGTGCGAGCACTTAACCGCTAAGTCGCGGGGCCGGCCCGATTTTTTTTTTTTTAAAGGTTTATTTATTTATCTGAGCTCCTTTCTGCCTCCAGGCCTTTGGCTTTGCTGGCTCCTCTGCCCTGAACGCCGTTCTCCCCATTGTCTTGTATGCCAGCTTCTCGTCATTCAGGTCTCAGCTCAAACGTCACTTCACTCCAGGCCACCTGCTCCAATGTTGCCTTGCCGCCTAGTCTTATCTTGTCACCTCTCTCCTTTTTTATTTTCTTTTCTTGCTGAGGAAGATTGGCCCTGAGCTAATATCTCTGCCAATCTTCCTCTATTTTGTATGTGGGTCACCGCCACAGCATGGTCACTGATGAGTGGTGTAGGTCTGTACCGGGCCGCCGATGTGGAGTGTGCTGAACTTAACCACTAGGCCACGGGGCTGCCCTCTGTTTTATTTTCTTTCTTCATAACACCTGTCATTATCTGAAATTGTTTTATATTCTTTATGAAACTGGTTTATTCAACTGGCTGGACTTTTCAGGGTGCAAGCAGGAAATAGTTTAATTTTTTTCCCACCACCGTTGTGGCATTTGCTCTGTTGCTTCTCTCTTCTTGAAAATCTTTCAGTTGTGTATAGCTTTACCAGTTTCTTTCAGGTATTAGAATAATTTCAATTTCAGGCATTAAAAAGTCTGGTTCTTGGGGGCTGGCCCCATGGCATAGTGGTTGAGTTTGCACGCTCTGCTTTGGCGGCCCGGGGTTCGCGGGTTCGGATCCTGAGTGGGGACCTACGCACCACTCATCGAGCCATGCAGTGGCGGCGTCCCATATACAAAATAGAGGAGGATGGGCACAGATGTTAGCTTAGGACTAATCTTCCTCAGCAAAAAAAAAAAAAAAAGTCTAATTCTTTTAGGTGATGTACATTGAAGGATTTAGGAGTGAAGTGCCCTGATGTCTGAAGCTTGCTTTCAAATGGTTCAGCCAAACCATGTACACACACACACACACACATACACCACAATGTCAACAATTTTTGAATCTAGGTAATGAGTATAAGGGTGTTTATTGCACTATTCTTTCAACTTTTCTGTGTGTTTGAAAATTCTTATTAAAAGTTGGGCAAAAAAGAAACTGTTCTGCTAAGATGAAAAAGAAGCCTAGTCCTATCTAAATAAAAATATTTATCTCCCATCCAATATAAGCTTCTGTTCAAGCTGACCAGGATTTCTGCAGTGGGGAGTGTGGGGGCGGTGGATGTGTGGTCGTGGTCTGTGTCTTCACCCTCTGATTTACATCTTTTCCCACGGCTAGCAGCTGCTTTCTGGCTCCTTCAGGGTCCAGAGGGGAGGAGGGATGAAAAGAGAAGGGTGAGGGCTCCTTGGTTATGCTGTTGTCACGGGTGGGTTTGTCCCTTCAGGAACTCTGCTTGCACCATCCCCTACACTCAGGCACCCAGAGTGTCCCTGAGAGTCAGAGGCTCAGCCAGCACCCAGGGCAGTGAGGGTGGGGACGAGGTGCCAGGGTCCCCTCTGGCAACACCCGCCCTTCACAGTAGTGCTCCTGAGTCCCCCTCATCTGGCTTGAGGAGTGGTTTTTTTTGGGGTGTGTGTAAACACCACTCCTTTCCTCCTCTTGGGATGACAACTATCTAGGAAGAAATTCTCACTCAGAACAGTCTCTTCTGAATTTCTCAACCTCTTTTACAGAGACTGGGGGTGGTGATGGGCTAGGGGTCAAGGGCTTGGTGGTGTTACCTCACAGTAAGTCCAGTAGAAGTAGCTCTCAGCTCTGGGCCCTCAGCAGAGAGCCCTGAGGGCAGACAAGGTCCTATTCGAGGTCCCGCCCACTCCGTTTACTTGTTGCAGCCTCTGCAGAAAGCCGGCACAGATCACGGTACTGTTATCACTGTGGTCTGTTGGTGGAAGGTGAAGCCAGACAGCGGCCAGGGCTCCAGTAGGGCAGGAGGCAGGATGCACGAATCAAGAGTTCACGGTGTTAGCGGTTAAGTGCACGCGCTCTGCTGCTGGCGGCCCGGGTTCGGACCCCGGGCGCGCACCCAGGGCGTGCACCGACGCACCGCTTCTCCGGCCATGCTGGGGCCGCGTCCCACGTCCAGCAACTAGAAGGATGTACAACTATGACATACAACTATCTACTGGGGCTTTGGGGGAAAAATAAACAAATAAATAAATAAATTAAAAAAAAAAAGAGTTCACGGTGCAGAAGCAGGTGGGCCCAGATCCCTGGTCCTGTCCAGGCTCAGCCTCACCCCTGCTCCTCCGACCCCCGCAGAACCAGCCAGCCTCAGTCTTAACTTTTGCTGGGTTGAGTCAGCTCAACCTGGAGGGTTAACCTGGAAAAGAAAATAGTCCAGAAAGCAAAGGATAAGCAGAGAGTGGGTGAGAGCACGTGTGCACAGAGGTTTGTGTACATGTGCAAATGCATATGTGCCTGTGTGTGCATAAGCATTTGTGTGTGCCCATGTGTGCACGTGTGTATGATGGCTAGCTCGCAGGGTCTGTGCCGGGGCGGGCAGAGGTGGTGGATTTGCCGGGTAATGAGTGTTTGCCTCGGGTGGGTAAGGGCAAAGACAAATTAAAAATAAGAGGAAAAACCTTGACGGAAAAAAAGAGAAGAGACTCCCCATCCTCTTTTTAGAGCATTTAGTTTAGAAACCTTGAAATTGTAAGTTCTGCCTCTTTGAAATGTATGTAAATCTTTTCAAAGGCTAAAGGAGTCTCTTACCAGCTTTGCATCCCAGGAATGTTTCCTCTGGGACCTGGAAGCCATCTCTTTGCCGGGGAAGAAAGTGCCCTGCCTCCCACTTTCTGTGGGAGAATAGCAGCCTATCTTCAGCTGGTGCCTGGCTCCAAGTTGCAAACCTACCTCCTGTCATAAAGACACGAGGAAGGTATTTTTCCTCTGCATACAAGCAATTAGCAAACACAGGTAGCCACCACAATTACCAGGTAAATTTCGCACGAACGATGTGTGACAAATGGTGCCGTTAAGTCCTCTTGCTGGAGCACTAGTCATCGTTTATCTCGAGAACACGTATGTAACAGGTTGTTATCTGCCTGGCTGTATAAAAGGGTGAGAGTCCTTTCTTTGCAGTCTCTGCGGATTGCCTGTGATGCACAGCACATTCTGGTTGAACGCTTACTCAATAATAAAACTGTTTTCTTTCCCTTGCACTTGAGCTGAGAGGTTTTCTGGGTTGGCAGGAGATTTCGTCTTTAATTTGTGTTTCCACAGCAGGTGTCTGTGGAAACGCCCTCCAGAGATTTTTTTTTGTGTTTGTGTGCATGCGTGTGCATCCTTTCTAGAGAGATGTGGCAGCACGTCTCGCAGTTGGCCTGGGCCCCCTGGACCACGGAGGCCTCCTTGGGCCAGCCATCCTGGAGTCAGCCTCTCTCAGAAGGGGGTGAGGGGGCTCCTCGCCCAGGGAAAGAGGGCACACCCTGGGGGTGGTTCGGGGTCCACGAGGCGGGAGATCCCGCCTCAGATCCCGCTGGGGCCCTGGACAGCATCCGTGTGGAGTCGTGGCAGCTGGGTGGTGAGAGCCGCAGCCTGGGGGCCCAAAGTGGGGTTCTGGGGAGGGCGCGCCGCCCGAGGGCTGGCTCGACAGCGACGCCGTGTGGCCGCAAGAGGAGACAGCGGCGGGACAGCTGCTTCTCTCCCTGCCCGCGCCAGGAAGCCAGACTGCTGCCCTCTGGAAAGCATCAGCCTCTGGGGGAAAAGAAGGATAATAAGGCAGCTGGGGGCTTGATCAACCAATTGGAAAAAATTGGAGCTATCATCTAACATTTCCTAAACACCAATGAGTTATAATGCAACGGGCATCCCTGATCCCTCCTTCTGCCTGATCCCCACCTGGGCACCAAAGCAGAAATGGCTGCGTGGCAAGGTCAGGCACTCATGGGGCCGCCGGGCATTATTCCTGGTGTGCTCCAGGGAGCACCTTTCACATGGAGAGTCAGGGAGGTGGTATTCCTGACTGTGCCATGGGGTGGACCCTGCGAACGCAGGCAAGGGAGGGCTGGACCCACCCAAGGGAGCGAGTTGTCTGACATGTCCAGAGGCTCCGGCTCCAGGGCACAGGGTTGGTACATGGATGATTCCTTGTGTACCACTTCCTGTCGACTACCATATATTGGGAAGGATTCCATGACTGTGCCTGGGTTCAGTCGGAAAGAGTGGCTGATTGACTACTGTATGCGTTTCCTATGGCTCCTGTAAAAAATTACCATAAACTTGGTGGCTTAAAGCAACGCAAACTCATTATCTTACAGTTCTGGAGGTCAGAAGTCCAAAATGGAGTTCACTGGGCTTAAATCAAGGAGTCAGCAGAGCTGATTCCTTCTGGAGGCTCTAGAGGAGAATCTGTTTCCTAGTCTTTTCCAGCTTCTAGAGGCTGCCCACATTCCTTGGCTTGTGGCTCTCTTCCAGCAATCACCTGACTCTGACATCTGCTTCCTCCACCATCGCATCTTCTCTAACTCAACTGCCTCCCTCTCGTAAGGACAATCGAGATTACATTGGGCCCACCCAGATAATCCAGGATAATCTCCCCATCTCAAGATTGGCAAAATCCCTCTTGCCATGTAAGGTAACATATTCATAGGTTTTAGGGATTAGGGTGTGGACACCATTTGAGGCGACATTATTCCGTCCAGCACAGTTACCAATGTCTGTATCCTAGTTTGGGTTCCTCCATCAGCATATCGATCCTGGGACGAAGGTTTAAGTGCAAGTGGTTTATTTAGGAGGTGATCTCAGGACACACAGTAGGGCACTGGGGACCGGGGACAGAGAAGGGAGGGGACCAGTAAAGGGTGTGTCATCAAGCCAGATACCCCTGTGGGTAATTGGCACTGAACCTTGCTGGGGAACTGCAGGAGACAGCACGGAGCACACGCCTCTGGGTTATCCCTGCACGCGGGCCGGGGGATCTGGGGTGTTTTTACATGAACTCTGGTCAGCCATGGGTCGAGGGCTGTTGTGTGCGTAGTTCATGTCCCTGTACTTTTAGCCTGCCGAGCTTGGGCAGAGCAGGCTCCGGTGGCCAGAGAAAGCCTGTTGGCAAAGAGATGCAGGTCCTGGCAACAAGAATTCAGGCCATCAATCACTAAAATGGTCAAGGCCAACAGGATGCGGTCAGGGTGTTGACAGTCTCTGCCAGTCTGCCACGGGTATGGGAGGAGGGTGTGGTGGCAGGATAGTGAGTTCCTGTCCGTCTCTGTATCCACAGGACTTCTGAAGGGGCATGTGGCCAGGGCCATCAGTCAGTCAATCCACCTGCTTTGCTCAACAGGTGGGAGGGTAGACAAGGGTAGGCCACCATCCCCTCCCTCAGCCTGTTCAGAACCACCATCTCATCTGACCTCCCATCTCTGAAATAGAGATCCTGGATATGGCTTTTGCTCACTTGGAAGTCAGGGTGGGGATGCTTCCCTTCTAGGACCCAGGGGAGAAGTGGGGGAGTGGGAGACATTGTGGAGGGAAGTATAAAGAGGCCATATTACCTGGCAAATGAATGGGCATTTACTGAGTGCCTACGACTGCTATGAAGCCCTCTGTCTGCATTTATCTATTTCCTCAGCGACTCTTCATCTTTTCATTCTCCTCCTCCTCTTCCTTCTTCTCTATTTTTGTTTTTCAGAATGGCCATTTTTTTGTCACTTTGAAATTAAAACACATATCAGACACACGCACAAACACCAGCTCTGACTTGTACCATCATTTACTAAAACCTTTGCTTATGGATAGAGTCAAACGCACACTAAGATCCCTCAGTTTCAACATTTATCAACATTTTGCAAATCTTGTTTCACCTATATCCTCCCCAATTTATTATCACTTTTTAAAAGGACAATTTAACATTACAAACATAAGAAGGATATGATCTGAAAATGAAGAACAGTTCTTTAAACCGAGGAATTTTAGATTAAATAGGAATTTTTAGTGTCCTATTCTTTCTCATTTTACTGCACCCAGGTGCAAACTTTGCCATGAATCAGTGTTTGAGAATGACTATCAAATCCATTGTTTTAATTGTATAGATGAGAGAACCAAGACCCAGAGAGAGAGGGACATGGCCAAGGTCGTCCAGAGAGGAACAGTGGGGCAGACCGAAAGTCCTCTTGGAGCATAGGTCCATCTGAAGCAAGTCCATGAAAATTCATTTTTCCCTCCAGAGTTTAGGAGAAATCAGGAAGTGGCCCAGGCTATTATCTCCTCACTGAACTCGGAGCTTGAGCCTCTGTGGATATCAACATTTACTATGTAACAGAGATGACCTTGAGGAACTATATCAGTTGTCTATTGATATGTAACAAACGACCCCCAAAAATGTAGTGGTTTAAATCAACAGTCATTTATTTGGCTCATGAATTTGTGGGTCCTTCTGGTCTGGGCCAGCTCAGCCGATCTCTGTCAGGCTTGCTCACGTGTATATGGTCAGCTGGTGGGTCAGTTGACAGGCTGGTTGGTCTGGTGGGAGGCCCCTCAGCTGGTCTGGCTCATTTCTGCTCCAGTATTCTCTCATTCTCACAGGAAGCAAGCTAGCCTGGGCTGCCAAACAGCAGCAAGAGAGGAAAGCCCTGTGAGCAGGTACTTTTCAAGCTTCTGCTTGTATGGTGATGGGTAATGTCTCCTTGGCCAAAGCAAGTCACACAGCCAAGGGGTGGAGCCATAGAGTCCCCCTTTTTTTTGTGTACCAGAATACCGGTTTATTACAAAAGATATTAAAGGATATGAATCAATAGCCAGAAGGAGAGATACATAGGACGAGCTTCTGAATAAAGAGACTTCTGTCCTCGTGGAGTTTGGGGCTTGGTACTGTGGCATGTGGAAGTGTTCTGGTTCTCCAACCTGGAAGCCAGACTCCACTTCTTGATGGGACGATCGTATCTTATTACAAAGGTATAGATGCAAAGGGCGGGGACAAGGATTTGTGGCCATTTCCACTGTGTACCACAGTGTCCTGGTCTGCTTGGACTGCTGTAACAAAATACCATAGACTGGGTGGTTTAAACAACAGAAATTTATTTCTCACAGTTCTGGAGGCTGGGAAGTCCAAGATCAAGGTGCTGGCAGATTCAGTGTCTGGTGAGGACCCACTTCCTGGCGTGTAGACAGCTGCCTTCTCGCTGTAGGCTCACCCGGCCTTTCCTCCGTGTGTGTAGAGAGAGGGAGATCTCACTGTCTTCCTCTCATTATAAGGGTGATAATTCCATCATTAGGGTCTCACCCTTATGACGTAATCGAAACATAATTATCTCCCAAACCTAATTATCTCTCCAAATACCACCGCAGTGGGGGTTAGGGCTTCAACATATGATTTTAGGAGGACACAAACTTTCAGCTTGTAACATACAGGAACCAAAGAGGATGTCCGTGCATGGAAATAGAATGGTGTATTAGTTTCCTGAGGCTGCTATAACAAATTACCACAAACTGTGTGGCTTAAAACAACAGAAGTTTATTCTCTTACAGTTTGGAAGGCCAGAAGTCTGAAATCAAGGTGTTGGCAGGGCCACACCACCTCCAGAGGCTCTCAGGGGGAATCAGTTTTTTGATTTTTCCACCAGCACCTGGTGGCTCCTGGCATTCCTTCACTTATGGCCGCATCACTCCAGTCTCTGCCTCCATGGTCCCATTGCCTCCTTCTCTTCTCTCAGTGGAATTTCCCTGTCTCACTCTTAAAAGGACACTTGTCATTGAATTTCGGGCCCACTTGGATAATCCAGATAAGCCTGTCCTCTCAAAATCCTTAACTTAATCACATCTTTTAGCATATAAGGTAATATTCACTCTTTTACCTTATAAGGCACTATTCACAGGTTTTGAGGGTGAGGCTGTAGATGTATCTTTCTGGGAGCCACCATGCAGTCCTCTACAAGTGGATTTTGGAAAACTGGATTTACCTAGCTCAATTTTGTAAAGGTGGAAAGAGAGAGGATGGGTGAGTGAGTGAGCAGGCACTAGGAGAGTTCAGGAGGGAGTAGGCTTGTTATGAAGCCACTGGATGGCTGTCATGAATGTGATCTGGGAGCCTTCCTTAATGGAGGCAAGCACGCAGCCTCAAAAGGCATGCTTCATCATGTGGCTGAAATTGGCCCTGCTGCTCAGTCCACTCCCTTAAATTTTTTTTTTTTTTCTGGTGAGGAAGATCAGCCCTGAGCTAACATCCATGCTAATCCTCCTCTTTTTGCTGAGGAAGACCAGCTCTCAGCTAATATCTATTGCCAATCCTCCTCCTTTTCTCCCCAAAGCCCCGGTAGATAGTTGTATGTCATAGCTGCACATCCTTCTAGTTGCTGTACGTGGGATGCGGCCTCAGCATGGCTGGAGAAGCGGTGCGTCAGTGCGCTCCCGGGATCTAAACCCAGGCCGCCAGTAGCAGAGCGCACGCACTTAACCGCTAAGCCACGGGGCCAGCCTCACCCCCTTAATTTCCGTGTCATTAGAGGAAAATCTAAACTTCAGTCTCCAAAATACACATTCCGGATCCTTGCACAAACAGATTCCTGTGGAACATACTCTATTAGTTACTCACTACTGTGTCATAAATTACCTCCAAACTTAGTGGCTTAAAACAACATGTATTTATTAGCTCACAGTTTCTGTGGGCCGGGATTCTGGACCTCGCTCAGCTGGGTGCCTCTGGCTCAAGGTCTGCTATGAAGTGACCGTCAAGCTGCTGGCCGGGGCTGGGGTCTCATCTGAAGGCTCTATTGGGGGCAGGGGGTCTGAGTCCATGTGGTTGTTGTCTGGCCTCAGTCCCTCACCATGTAGGCCTCCCAGAATGAGTGATCTGAGAGAGAGAAAGACAGAGAGAGGCTCGAGATGGAAGCCATAGTCCTTTTATAACCTAATTTCGGAAGTGGCAGCTTGTCACTTTTGCTGTCTTCTATTTGTCAGAAGTAAGTCAATAAGTTCAGCCCCCACTTAAGGGGGAGGGATTACCCAAGGGTGCCAACACCAGGAGGTGGGAATCATTGGAGGCATCTTAGAGGCTGCGTACAATAGTCTCCAAAATCTAATAGGCATAAGACATAGAGTGAATCTAGTTAACTTTATGGTTAATAGTGGATTTGTTTCCTAATTTATGATAATCGACTCAAACATCTTAAAATGAATGTCTATGTTCCTGAATCATCGGTTACACCAACA